GTCTTCTCTGTGTTTGAGAACGTCAGAAGCAGTGGGGTCAGCATCACAGCATTAACTGGTAAGAAAAAAAACAAATTTCCTACTGCATTTCAATAACCCTGGTAGACAAATCTAACAAAGTTGACAAACTGGATCGTTTAAAAATTGTTGGACCTTAAACATCCTGCAGCCCTTGTGTCAACATGATTATGATTGATGATGATGATGATGATGATGATGATGAAAGCCTTTATTGTCATTGTTTGCTCAGTGAAATTACGTTTAAACACACCCATTCAAGAAGACACATACATGACAAAACATGGTGTAACAGGTGTTCAGGTCATGTGGCAACCAGTAGGGGTCGCACTACCTTAAAAAGCTTGGAATACACACAGTAGGAAGAATGAGTTAAAAAAAATGCTCTGATCTTATGTTTTCACAGAAACACAGGATCATACGCTAAAAAAACCGCTCTCATATAGTGCAAGGCAGCTAAGAAAAGGGAGGGGGCTGGGGCTCAAACACATGGTACGGGGTAGGATACAAAAGAGCCAGTGACGTTTCAGGGAAATACTCCGTGCTGGAACCAATCAAAGACCTTCAGAGTCCAAAAAACAAGTTGTTATCAACAAAAGCACTAATCACCAAAGTTCAGTTTCTCTGTCTCCACCCATCGTGGCCTTCAGACTGATCCACCCACGGATAAAACGGTTAGGGGATGGGGAGTCAAGTCTCTATATCACGTGTCATCCAGGGGAGTTTTGAAACTGCCGACAAGGTCAGCAGCTGCAAGGATCCAAAAGATAAACATATTTGTTTGGGACAAGCAGCCTTGATTTTCTCGCTGCTTTCAGTCTTTAACTGCATCTCTGTGATGGCGAAAAAGCCAATGTTCTGAATTTCATTACCTCCTCACCTCTCTTTCCGACTGAAACTTAACCCAGGTGTACTCTTACTCCTCACGGGCACGCTGCTGAACTGTGATTCTTGTCAGAATCACGTCCAGTTTGCGACTTATATCCCCCAACATTTGAGTCTGTGGGTTTCCAGAACAGGAGACTTCATCCAAGATTCCTGACAGCTTCACACAGGCTTGGACTACTGTCAGGATCGCTTTCATTTTCCGATAAGCCAGGACTCCTCCACAGCCGATGAGCAGGAATCCAGTTATCATAAATCCAAATATGAACAGATCTTCGACGTCTTCGAATGAAAGCGGGGCCAAACAGATCAGGTTCCACCCCCAAGAACAAGCGACCAGACCAGCCGCCACCATTCCACTGGGACAGCTGCGCTCCCCATGCTCCATTCTACGTGTGGAAAAAATAGTATTGACTGAACTCAGAGACCAGTTGACCAAATCCATAATTCCTTTTGTTTTCAGATGATAGGTAGAAGAAAGGCTTGGAAAAGYTGCAAAGCAGGGAAGGAGGGACAGGTTTGGGAGAGAGAGCAAAAGTGTCCGAATCCTCTGGAGGCCAAGCGAAAAAAAAAAAAACCCAGACCCAGACCCATGAAGCCTCAGTCCTTACACTAAGACTGACGCTTCATGGGTCATTTTGACCCAAAGGCAGTTGGAAGAAAATACATTATTATCCTTAAATATCAAAGTGAAGAGGAAATGGGAAGGATTAGGCTAAGTTTGCCCTGCACTGGAAAGTGTCAAATATCACTGAGTTCTAAAAAAAAAACATGGAAGATTGCTTTTTGAAGTGAGTAAAATGTGTAATAGAAATAATGCAAAAACATTAACAGTTTGATCAACAACTTTGAGTTCTAACTTGTCTGTTTATTTTTTACTTGTCTAACCTGAACCAGTGAGTAGACCTTCAACTTGTGTGGAGACTGGTTGTCCTTCAGGCATGGACTGCCTCAGCAG